ATAGGCAGACAAGCGACACAGAACCTCTTCAACAAAGAAAAGAGAAACCACTTGACTGAGATGCAGAAGATAATCCTGGAGCCCTGAGCTTTGAAAGGAACTATACAGAAGTGGATTAGGCACCAACTAGTGGAAAAACCTGAACAAAAACAGTGAGTATGGAGATGGTTGGAGCAGTGGACCATCAGCTACTCTGACGGGACCAACAGCCTGAATATTTCCAAGTGGTGTTGGGACCTGAGAATTGACCTAAAGATCAGCCCTGGTCACCAAGGGTGCAATTGTACTGCACTGGTGGTCTATGACTAAAAAGGGAAATGGCAAGGAAGGAGACAACCTGAGCTGTGGACTCTCCGCTCTCCAGAGGGTGTAGCCATTTTGATTGTTTACAGGCGGTGGCCAGTTTGGATAGTTAGAGTGACCAAGGACGGAGCCACTTTGAATGTTTACAAGCGGTGGCCATTTTGGATATTTAAAGTGACCGAGGGCGCAGCCATTTTGAATGTTTATAAGTGGTGGCCACCATTCAGATTCCAGGGACCTAAGAATAGGTTCTGTTTGCCAAAGATGGCAGGGACATAGGAGAGGCTGACAACAGGAAAGGAGACAGGTGGTGAGTGTATAAGTGCTACCAACTAGCAAATAGAGGAGCACAGCACAGTACCCTGCTTACACAGATAACATACAAAGAAAATGAAAATTGTGGGCAAGTCACTCCAACATACAATCACCAATTAAATATAAACACAAAAACATCATAATGCCTCAGAGACTACAGAGCATCACAGCGCACACAAAGAAGCAAGATAAAGCAAGAGAAACAAGGGACCAGGATATAGACCCAAAACACATCCCTGAGGAAGACACAGCATTGGAACTCCCTGGTAAGGAATTCAAAAGACTTATATTTAGGTATCTTCAATGAACTGAGAGACAGATCAAAGAAGACATGACAAAATTCAGAAAACCCTAGAACAATTTCGAAAGACAATACAAGAACAAAATGACAAAATAAATTAAAAAATTAGAAATGATAAAAAAATCTACACATAGAAATCCAGAAGATTAATACTAAATTTTCAGAAATAGATAACACATTGAATGGGCTAAAGAGTAGAACTGAATCAATGGGAGACAGAATTAGTGAGACTGAAGGCAAATATCTCAATACTTCTTTGGAAAAAAAGATCAAAACAAAATGAAGAAAGCCTAAGGTTCATCTAGGATCCATCAAAAGAAATAACCTACTTGTAATCAGAATTCCAGAACAGGAAGAGACAAACAAAACCACAGAAAAAATTGTTGAAGATTTGTTGGAAGAGAATTTTCCTGGTATGATGACAGATGAGAATATATCCATTCAAGGAGTACAACAAACCCCAAACAGGATAGATCCCAAAAGAAAATCACCAAGATATATTATCATCAAACTCACCAAAACCAAAGACAAAGAAAGAAACCTGAAAGCAGCACAAGAAAAAATAAAAGTTACCTACAAAGGGCAACCAGTAAGACTAAGCTCGAATTTCTTGGCAGAAACCATGCAGGTGATAAGACAATGAGATGGTATATATAAAACCCTGAAAGAGAAAAATTTCCAGCCAAGAATTATGTACCCAGCAAAACTGTACCTCAAATATGATGGTGAAATTAGGACATTTCCAGATAAGCAGAAATTAAGAGAATTTGTTAAAACCAGACTAATCTTACAAGAGATGCTAAAGGGAGTCTTTTGGACAGAGAACCAACAACAGCAAACACCAACCAACCATTAATACACATGATGACATAACCCCAAAACCAACCCAACTATGGAAGTATCCGAAGTATATAAGCCTACAAGATTGTAAACGGAACCAGAGACATCAATTGACAAATGAGGACAACTACAAACCAAAAAGAGGGAAAAAATGGTGTAGTTGCAGAACTTCTAAATGATAGGGAAGTCAAGACAACTACAAGATAGAACAGACTGTTCTAAACTTGGGAAGAAATCACAGGGTAGCCTCAAAGAAAAATGATAAACCTTCACATCAAAATAAAAAAGAGGACCAGCATAAATATTCAGCAAATACTAAAACAATAGCAATGAAGGAAGTGATAACACGATTCATAAACAAAATGAGCTCAGCACAGAAAATTATATGGAACAAAG